ATAAAATGTCGAAATTCAGAACTTTGTATTCGTTTTCTTCGTTGGGCGAACGGAAACAACCCGAATGTCAACACATGCCAGCAGCAACATTACCAGCAAAGTTGTCGATGGTCATCCCGTATCATATTGAGGACTAGTTGTACTGCTTTACTAAAAATAAGCTAATTTCAAGTTTGACCCTTAGCAAGTGACAGTATAAACAGCGTAAGGGGACTAGTTATCTCACAAATTGAACTGGACTGTCATTCTTCAGCACCAGAGGAGAACTGCTTGTCTGTGTACCATGCTCACCAGTATAAATAAAATTTTTTTCAAAAAGTTCGGTTTTAGAAAATTTTGGACTTTACGAATTCTGGGTTGTTGTTTTTTTAATTTTTTACTTTGAAAAACTAAGGTTATTCTTCAAAAATCGATTTTTACAGCTGGAAGATGTTGTAGTTGAGATGACAATGCCAAAAACTGTGCAAAATTGCATGGTGGTACCAAGCACTGGCAAGTGCTCATTCGATCCAACAACAAAACTGCTACAATGGAATATTGGAAAGATAGAACTTGGCAAGCCCCCAACGCTAAAAGGAACTGTTAGTTATTTTCTTTGTTTTAGAAAACAGCGAAATTTTTTGTTTTTTTTTTTTTTTTGTTTTTGCCAGGGATCAGAAGTCATATGTTTTTGAAACATTTCATTCGAAATGGGACTTGACAAGGTCTGCGAACCATTTATCACTGAAGAGGTATCATTCGCTGATAAGACACAAAACACATGGAAGAGTGCAATTGTCCTTCACTTTTTTTGGCACTAAAAAAAACTTCAAAAGATTGTTGTTTACTGTTAAGTTTGAATAATAATAATAGGAAAGGTGGTAAATCAAAATTTTTTGGATGAAGAAATTTTTTGCTCAAGTTATTTTGTTAAAAGCATATTTCTGTGTTCAAATTTAGTAATATAATCTATGGAAAATATACTGAACAGAAGCAAGATACTATGTTTACTTACATTTCAGATAAATGCTGTTCCACAGTTGCATTTTTTAATTCGCCATAGACGTAGTTGGCAACTT